ATCTCAATATCCTGTTTTCATTTCCTTTGGATATATACTCAAAAACAGGATTGCTGGATCATATGATAGTTAGTTCTATTTTTAATTTTTTGAGAAACGTCCACACTGTTTTCCACAGTGGCTGCACCAATTTACACTCCCAACAGTGCACAAGGGTTCCCTTTTCTCCACATCCTCACCAACACTTATCTCTTGACTTTTTTATGACAGCTATTCTAACAGATGTGAGGTGATATTTCATTGTGGTTTTGATTTGCATTTCTCTGATAATTAGTGATTTTTAGCATATTTTCATGTACCTGTTGGCCATTGTATGTCTTCTTTGAAAATCTGTCTGCCCAACTCCTCTGCCCTTTTTTTAATAGGATTGTTTGGGCTTTTGCTATTGAGTTGTGTGAGTTATTTTTATGTATAGATATTAACCCTTCATGAGACACATGGTTTACAAATAGTTTCTCTCACTCCATAGGTAGCCTTTTCATTTTATTGATGGTTTCCTTTGCTGTGTAGAAACTTTTTAGTTTGCTGTAGTTCCAATTTTTTTATTTTTACTTTTGTTGCCTTTGTCAAGACTGGTGTCAAGGAGCTTACCCCTTATGATTTCTTCTAGGAGTTTTATGGCTTCGGGTCTTGAATTTAAGTCTTTAATTCATTCTGAACTGATTTTTGTGTATGGTATGACACAGGGGTCCCAGTTGCATTCTTTTGCATGTGAGTGTCCAGTTTTCCCAACATCATTTATTGAAGATACTGTCCTTTCCCTGGTGTATATTCTTGGCCATTTTGTTGTAAATTAATTGACCAAATTTGCATAGATTTATTTCTGGGCTCTCTATTCTATTCCATTGATCTATGTGTCTGTTTTTATGCCAGTATAATGTGTTGATTACTTTAGCATTGTAATATAGTTTGAAATCAGGAAGTATGATGCCTACATAAAGTCAGCTGATCATGAATGTCAATCACATCTACAAAATACCTTCACAGCAACAACTAGATTAGTGTTTGATTGAATAACTGGGAACTGTAGTCTAGCCGCACTAACACATAACACTGACGATCACAGGTAGCAATCAGAAAGGAAAATAGAAAGAGAGAATGAGGTCAGCATGGTTTTTCAAAGCCTGAGGCTCATATACATGAGTAAACTTAAAATTTCCTCCCAATGGAGTTAGATTTCAGTTATCTTTCTCTATTCCCAAATTCTCCAACTGGGTATCTCTTCAGTGGAATCTTAGGGTCTAGAGAGGAAAATTAGGTTCATCATGATCCCTTTTTAGACCTGAAACATCATTTTTCCAAGGCTAAACCAGATAGGTTAGTTAATATGTACAGGTTCCAGCCTACCCATGTTTCTAGCACACATAGCACCAATAAGCACTAGGCCTGAGAATTCGTGGGTTAAGAAGGAAGACTATTTCAAAGTTTTCTCTCTCTCTTCCACTCTGTCCATCACTGAAACTAAGGTTCCAGAGGGCAAGAATAATGTTTGAAGGTATTTGTGTCTCCTTCCATACCTGCCACCCTTCCCCAAAAGTCTAAGATGGACCTCTGAACACCCAACAGGTCAAATCTACAGCTGAAGCCCAATGAATTAGGCATAGGTGGGAAGCTGCTGGTGCCACAATGACCCTGGTTAGATGATTCAGGATTCACCAGCTCAGGACTAGTAATGAGCCGGTTTGCTCATTCCTGGAATGGTCATACAGAAAAAGAAAGACTAAAACTCTCTGGTCTGATATGGAGCTTATGTGGGAGATCTGAGGGAGGATTCTATCCATTCTGTGACTTGGGAATTGAATCATGCATGACTCTGGGCCTTACCCTGTAAGAGTTTGGTGCTCTTAATGCCTTAGAGCCACAGGTGACCCTGGGGAACAGCTAGGAGGAAGCTTCCACTGAAAGTTTACATCTGTGCACCTGGGCTTCTGAGAGCTGGTTCCATCCACGTCAGTAGCTTCAAGAGCAGAAAAATGACAGAATGAGGCTGATGAACTCCTTCTGACAGTTACATCTGCCTTTCTGGAAGAAAGAGGAGGAAAATAAGAAACAAGTGGCAATGCTTCCCAGATTTAGAAAGTAAAAAAATAGCCAACATGGCATCTGAGATGCTTTGGTCACTGGGATCTTGGGTCCTGTGCCTGAGCCCTGCTCCATCTGGAATCACTCTCAAAGGCCTAACCTAGGGGGTAGAATGGGGTGGCCTAACCTAGGGGGTAGAGTGGGGTGGAGCTGCCAGAGCCCAGAGCACCTAGTGTAGCTACAGTTGAATTAGCAGAACAGAGAGCATAGGTGAAAGGTGGGCTCACCAAACTGGTATTGTCCTCAAGAGCAGGACAGTACAGCCAGGATCAAAATGATATGGAGCAGCCTCTAAGAAAAACAGTATGGAGATTCCTTAAAAAAATTAAAAATAGAACTACCATATGATCCAGCAATTCCACTTTGGCTATATATCCAAAAGAACTGAAAACAGATCTTGGAGAGCTATTTGCACACCACGTTCCTCGCAACATGTTCACAATGGCCAAGAGAAGGAAGCAACCTAAATGTTCACCAACAGATGCATGGAGAAAAAAGATGTGGTGTATACATGCAATGGAATTTCATTCAGCCTTAAAAATAAATAAATAAATAAATAAATAAATAAATAAATAAATAAATAAGGAGGGGCACCTGGGTGGTTCTGTCGGTTGAAAGTCCAACTCTTGGTTTCAGCTCAGGTCATGATCTCACAGTTCATGAGTTCGAATCCCACATTGCACTGTCAGCGCAGAGCTTGCTTGAGATTCTCTCTTTCTCTCTCTTCCTCTGCCCCTCCCCTGACCACACACGCACACTCTCTCTTACTCTCTCTCTCAAAAATAAATAAACTTTAAAAAAAAGGGAAATCTTGTCATATGCTACAGTGTGGATGAACTTTGAGGGCATTATGCTAAGTGAGATAAGCCAATTGTAAAAAGACAAATACTGCATGATTCCACTTCTATGAGGTATCTAAAACAGTCAAACTCTCAGAGAGTAGAATGGTAGTTGCCGGGGTCTGGGAGGCTGGGGACAAGAGGGGAGTTGCTGTTACACTGGCATAGAGTTTCAGTTTTGCAAGATGAAAAAGTTCTAGAGATCTGTTGCACAACAAAGTGTATGTAGTTACTACCATACACTTAAAAATAGTTAAGATGGTAAATTTTATGTGATGTTTTTGACTGCAATTAAAAGAAAGGGGGGTGTGGCACTATAAAACCCAATTATGCATGTGCTAAGATTAGCTCAGTAATGAGTTTTGAAGTGGAATCCTGTCTGCTGTGTGGGGTACCCCATACACGGCATGGCAGGCCCCCTGCCCAACCTCACCAAGCCACCTGGTCCACACAGAACACATTATCTGGAAGAACAAAAGCATCATCTTCATATACATTGGCCATTTCCCATGATTCCCCCAAGCTGATTTTGTTCTAGTATTTTTACAAATCAGTGAAGTACTTCTCTCTAATAATAATTGTAATAACCAGCATTTGTTCAAAACTTACAACAAAGAAATTACATTATATATGATGAGTAAGATGAAAATTAACTGTAGTCAAGCCAATCCCCAAAAGCCCTTTAAATTGCCAACAAAATTATATATATATATATATATATATATATATATATATATATATATAGTGTAAACAACCCTCCTATATAGTAGTTCTTATACAAACTAAACTGTTTGAATTATTGTGGTAGCTCAGAGGAACCAAAAGGAAAGTATATACGCAAATGTCTGGATAGGCACATCATTTCATAACTATTGGTGGTGGGGGGGTGCTGGCGAGTGAAAAGTTTATGCTGATCTGCGGGTTTTACTCGGTTCTCTCTTTTTTTATTTTTTAAAGTTTAAACCTTTATTTATTTTGAGAGAGAGAGGGAGAAAGAATCCCAAGCAGGCTCCATGCTGTTGGCGTAGAGCCTGATGTGGGACTTGAACCCACAAACCCTGAGATGATGACCTGAGCTGAAATCAAGAGTTGGACACTTAACTGACTGAGCCACCGAGGCGCCTCTTGTTTCTCTTTTAATATTAAGGCTCTATAAAAACCTGACAATTGAGAAATTGTCATCAGCCAATATTCCCACAGTGCCAAATCCCATGGCAATGCTTTCTTCAAGGTACGAGCAGCCTTCACGGTCTGAAAGAGGAGGTGGGACCTATCACACAGAGATGAGTTCTGTACGGTGCAAACCAGTCTATTTCCAGGCACCGGCAGTGCAAAATTTGGCAGCCCTAAATGAAGTCACATCAATTTTGGAAGCAAGGGGGAAAAAACAGCTAAGTGTTTTAGGGAAGAGAGAGAAAGTGAAATTCTCATCTTTGATTTGGTCTGGGAAATCCGACATTGTAAACTTAATAATATGGATTACAGAGGAAGGGGAACAGTGAGGATTTCAGCTTTTCCTGTGTTGTTCTACTTATTTATTTTAATATATATATAATTAGAGAGCAAGAAAAATGAAGTAGCTGTAGATGTAGATAAAGATATAACTAAACCTGAAGTTTTTTTTAAAAAAAAAAACAACATAATTGTGAGTAAAAAAAAGCAATATGCAGGAAACACACAGAATTGGTGAGGTCTGTATGTACGATTAGAAAATACAAAACAGTACAGTTTACAAAATTGCTTATGGAGATTCATATAGATATTTATCTTTGGTAAAAATATAAAACTGTGCATGAGGAAGACAAACTCTGAGTTCAGGATAGAAGTCTCCACTGAGAAAGAAAGGAGGAGGAATTCACAGAGCTCACAAGGACTCTGATTGTGCCAAGCGTGTTACATTTCTTCAAATGGATGATGGGTATATGAGTGCTTATTCTATAATTATTGTACTTTTTTATATGTCTGGCATATTTCTTACTAAAAAAAGGAACATATGAAAAATATGAAGCCTCTATATACTCAATAATGTTAGCAGGTGTGTTTATTGTTGTATGATTGATCCCAATGATTTGTTTCAAGGAGGCTGGATCTTAAGAGGAGCCCAAGATAAAGGTGTGTGTCTGTCCACCAGCTCTACCAAGTGCTATGCTACACACTTCACTTGAGGAAAGCTGCCTGAGGTAGGTTCTATTTTCCACATCTCACCAAAGAGGGACTAGGGACACCGATTAAGTAGTTTGCCTAAGAGCATACATTCCTCACCAGGTGGCTGCAATTCCCTGAATTTGTTTTCCTACAATTTCCAAAAGGTGGTATTTTGGAAGACCTGTGATAACTCTGAATCATGAAACTGGAGGAACAGAACAAATCACAAGTTAAAACATACCTAACGTCTGCCAGAAAGTACCCGTTGAGAGCATCATTAGCCTGAAGTCTGGATCTAATGCACTAAGCCCTTCCCTTCCCTCTTAACCCCAATCTCTTTAATTGACATTTAGTTGCCTGCGGTCAGATCTCTTTCAATCCCAGTGTCTACAGGCTCCTGATCTTGGGCGACTGGGACAGCTAGACCTATCTCTTCTCAGGCCCACTCTTGCTTTATTTCCCTTTTTTTGGTGTGTGCATACTGCTTTAATTGGGCAATCATTATGCCATTCTCCCATTAACGTCGGCGGGGAAGTGAGTAATCAAACTCTCAATTGTAAACTTCGGTAAGATAAGGTCAGCAAGACGTGTGGTCCTGAGATGGCACCCCGCACCCGCAAGGGAAAATGACTCTCGGTGGCTCTCATTGTTTTGGGGCTTGTTTGCGTTGCTGTGCACTTGTAATGGAAAACGAATAAAAATAAAAATCCCGGGGCCCATTTTGGCGCGCGCTTGGGAAGTTAATACCACTGTCCTGGCAGAATTCCAGCTCAGGTCACTGCATTCTGCTGGCGGAAGCCGCCTCATGCGGTTTTCAGTGGATGTCACTTTCTTCTTTGCATCCTTCTCAGGGCTCCGTGTGCAGCGCATTCAACAGCTGGCCCTTCCCCACCTGCAGGAGCTACAGTTCTGCAGAACTCAGAATGACCCCTGCCTCTTCCCCGGGCAGGAAATTAACCTGCTCCAAGGACCAGCCACTGAGATATTTGCTACAGTCAAGATCTATACGAATGTGTTTTTCTCTGAGTGCCTTTAAGCAGCCACAGAATCAGATTACTCTCCTTAAAAGATTTTTCAAGGAATCACACAGTTTCTTACAAGTCTCTAATGCATATATTCCCTCCATTTGTTTTGTAATGTTTTGTTATGCAAACTAAAAATGTCTCCTTATCTGAAGTACTTAGAAATTTATCTCCCTTCCACCCATATATGCTTATTGTTGCTGCTTTTGTTTTCACAGATTTTTTTTCTAGTGTGTAACTCTTTCCCCTATGAAATGTATTGCATTTTATGGTGCGAGGAATGGTTCTAACTAGTTGTTCCCCCATACAAATAATCTTCTGTTCTTAACAATGTTTACTGAATGGCAGTTTCCAATTGTGTGTCTTGCGCACATGACTTAAACCTGTCTGACCATCAGCTTTCAGGATCTGGGGAGATAGGAATGACACCTACCTGACAGGCTTATCCCAAGGATGGAGTAAGCCAGCACGTGAAAAGGTCCTAGCACGTTGCATGCATGGCAGATATGTGTTTAATAAATGATGTCTTCCTTTTAGTCTCCTTTCCTTCCTTTTTGTCTGCATCCGCCTATTTTCTCCTAGAGCCCTTTTATGTACCACTGAAATCAAGCGTCTCTAGAATGATCCAAATGTTGTCTATCCCAGGTTATATATTAGGAAGCTACTAAGTAGAAAGGTTGGGGGAAGTGGAGGAGGTAGAGGGCAGTGAAGACACTTTTCTTCAAGGGACCCCACCTAACAACACTTGCACTTTCTTTGCTTGCAAATGACAGGCTGTTTCTGCAGCCTCCTCTGTCCCCACGTCAGAGGATCCCTCTTAGAGGCTGCTCTTCTGAGGCCTTAAAATGCTCCCCTCCCCAAGTTGCCATGTCAGATGTTTAAGGGAAATCTGATTTTTTAAGGACAAAGCTCTATGTGTGGGTTGTTTTATTTCGGGGGTAGGGTGGGGGTAGGAGTTGGCCATGGGTTTGCTGCATTCCAGGAAGAGGGAGGACTCTGCTCTCCTCCGATGAGTCATGGAAGAGAAACGTCTAATGTTTGCAAACATCTCCAGCCAAGCCTTTGCTTTCTTGGACTCCACCCATCCCCCCCACATCTGTGCAGATTGGACCCACCTGAGAAGATTCAAAAGCGAAGCTTGAAGGCTAAAGCAGAGGCTGTGGATTCTACCACCATTTGAAATGGAAAACCACTAAGGGAAGGAAGGGGAAGCAGTACCCTTGTATCTGGACTCCAGCATGTGAGACACGGGACAAGACCTTACATTGGGTGTATCTGTCTCCAAATCAGGACATGATCTGGGTGGTGCAGGAGCACTGAGTGAATGAACAAGGCTGTCCCAAGAGGCGTCTGCAAAAGGACTGGGAGACTGAGAGAAGCCTCTGGTGGGAGAAAGGAGCAAAGGGGATTGCAGAGAAGAAAGCAAGGGCTAGGAAGAGGGGAAGCCTTGCAAGTGGGAGAAGCCAGGAGCTGCTGCTTTCTGGGGAGGATGAAGGCCGAGCGGGCTGGTGAGAGACCGGAGCAGGCGGGGGTGTGCGGGAGAGGACCATCGCCTCAGCCTCGGCAGACTGCTGGAGCCAGATGGGGCTCATGATGCATCCTCCCAGATGGAACGGATCAGGCTCGTCAGACATGCTTCCCTCAGGATACACAGTGTCCCCCTCCCTCCCCCTCTCTGAAATCAGGAGAGAATCACAAGGTGACTTGGGAGGGCAGCCAGCCTCCAGGGATCTTGTGTGAACTATCAGGTAACGACAGCGGGATCACAATAGGAGACCTAAACATGCCTCCACCACCACCACCCCCTTTTTTTTTCTATTGTGGGACATCAAGGGAGCAAGCTCATGAGCTTGGGAACAAAGATCCTATTCTAGGAATTTGTCCACTGCAACCCTACCCAGCACATTCACAAGCCTTGGATTTCTGCCCGACGGAAACTCTACCTGCTCACTGTGCCCCTACCACCGCCAGAGCAACACCCTGGCACCTGGCAGGGAAGGGAGACTCTGAGTGGCTCATCATTTAAAATTAAAAATCACATTTAATCACTGTTCATTTTTCTACCAGGCTCCGAAGGCCCTGTCGTCTCTTCATTTTAAACATTTTGCTGTTCAAGATCTGAGCACCTTGGGGGGTGAGACAGGAGGGCAGTGGAAGAGAACTTTTGAAATCTTTCCACAAAAATCAAAGAACAAACCGACTGGAGGGAAAAATAGCTGCTATATTTAAACTACATTATCCCATCAGGGAGTTATGGTTTTGAAAACCATTCCGCAGTACTTTGTTTGGCACTGATGCATGGGTTTCTTGTCTTTAATTTTTTTTTTAAATGGCAACATTTTTTTTTTTTTTTTTTCCCAGAGCAGTAATTGCAAAGGAAGTGAAGGGCTTCGTGAATTAGTTTGGGAGATATGTACCGAACACCTGCTACAGGCCCCGCATCACGCTAGGCACTGGGAGGACAGAGTAAATGAGGGAGCCCTCAGGTCCTCAAAACAAATAATTATCGTGCATTCATTCATCATTGTGCATATTTTAAGTACATATGATCTCTGTTCTCCTGGAATTTTTTAAAAATAAGTTTATTGTGTGTGTGTGTGAGAGAGAGAGAGAGAAAGAGAGCGCGCACGCGCGCGCGCGCGCGCGGGCGAGCCAGGCGGGAGGGGCAGAGAGAGCAAATCCAATGCAGGCTTCGCACTGTCAGGGTGGAATCCCGCTGGGTGGGGGGCGGGGCTTGAACTCACAAATCGTGAGATCATGTGACCCGAGCCGAAATCAAGAGTCAGACGCTTAACCGACTGAGACTCCTAAGCCCCCCTCTCCTGGACTGTATAATTTGGTGGAAGAACACAGCAAACAAGTGACTTGGTTGATAAGCAGAGTGAAAGAGTACCATTCACATGTACATTTGCCAATTTGCTGTTCCTTCTGTTCCAAATGCTGTTCTTCTCAGCTCTGACTATGCAAATAGCTATATATTATTCGTGTGCTCACTTCTCAGAGGGAGGTGACCATCCATCCCACCCCCCCATCCCCCAACTGTCACTCTCACATGTGACTCCATGTCACGGTCAAGTGGCAAGATCAGGTAGACGGGGGTACAGGAATCTGGATATACAAATGTGTCTGTCATCAATATTTAGGTGGAATTTAAAGCAGTGGGCCTAGGGGTGCCTGGATGGCTCAGTCAGTTAAGTGTCTGACTCTTGATTTTGGCTCCGGTCATGACCTCACGGTTCATGAGATGGAGCCTCATGCTGGGCTCTGCGCTGACAGTGCGTGCTGACAGTGTGGAGCCTGCTTGAGATTCTGTCTGCCTCTCCCTGGCACTCACTCTCTGTCTTTCAAAAATAAACATTAAAAAAGAAAGGAGTCAGATGCTCAACAGAAAAAAATAAGCAAATAAAGCAGTGGGCCTAAGGAAAGACTGTGGATTGAGAAACAATGTCGCACGTCTCTCAGTCCTGGAACACTCTGCATTTCGGATTGAGTACAAGATGGGAAAGGCAAGAAAAAAAGGCTGAGAAGGAGAAGTCAGAGAAGTAGGAGGCAAACCCGAGTTACTATACAATAGTTGAGTGAGATACAGAGTGTCGTGTGGGACACAGGACAAGGCACAACTCATTTCTGGGGTGGTGAGATCGGAAGTGATGGAGAAGCGATGGCCATTGTCAGAGAAGGCCACCAAGATGGGATGGGATTTAGCCTTCATCTTGGGAGGATGATTAGGGGTTTGCCGGGATCTGAGCAGCAGGCACAGCCTGAGCAAAAGTGCAGAGAACAGATAAATAATCCATTGTGGCAGGAGCTTTAGAACTAGAGGAGAGGCTGTGGCAGATATATGGCAGATAAAACAGAAAACTGCAATGGAATAATCTAGGGCCATTCCTAACCAGGCTTCCCAGTGTTCCATGCTAGTTACTTCCTCCAAGAGGAGTTAAGCTCTTTGACTTTCCTCAATGAGGTGGACCTCTTCTGCTTTGTCAACCCAACATTCATTCCTTTCCTTGATTTGATTTTCCTTAGGGGCACTGTTTTCCAGGGTGCGAGTCCTAAACCAGCAGCATCAACATCACCTGGGAACTTGTTAGAGATGCACATTCTTGGACTCTGTCCCAGATGTACTGAATGGGAATTCTGGAGATAGGGCCCAGCAGGCCCCCTGCGTGATGTTGCCGCATGCCAAAGTTTGAAGACCACTGCTTCAGGGAAACACTTCTTCCCAACTCTCCATCCATGTAATTCAGGTAGGGCTGACCACAGTCCCTGTTTCAGGTGGAGCACAGGTCTCTCAGGAGATATTAGACTTTTCCCTCCATGAACCTGCTAAACTTGGGGGACTATAAACTGGAGTTGCTGGGGGCCAGGTCTGCTGTCACCTAGAGAGACCCTATGTCAAAGCCAAAAGCAAAGGGAAGCAGCAGAGCCAAGGAATAGAGAGATTCTCAGTGATTTTATTAGAGCACCTGGATCAAGCTGTTCTGAATTTGGTGTCTACGCCCAGTAAATCCCTTTATTACAAGCATCAACTAGTCAGTTGGCTTTTGGACACTGAGTCATCAAAAGAAGACTTATTGGGGTGCCTGGTTGGCTCAGTCAGTTAAGCATCCAATTCTTGATTTCGGCTCCAGCCTTGATCTCAGGGTTTGTGAGATTGAGCCCCATGTTAGCTCTGTGCTGACAGTGTGGACCCTGCTTGAGATTCTCTTTCTCCCTCTTTCTCTGCCCCCAACCCCTGCACTTGTGCCAGTATGCAAGCACGCACGCACTCTCTCTCTCTCTTTAAATAAATTAAAAAAAAAAAAAAGAATACTTATCAATGGAGGTGGGAGGCAAATTCTGGAAAAGGCATTATGTATCTGGCAAATTCTCAGATGTTAAAGTTGTAGTTTGTGAACACGTAGAAAACATGGTAGTCACTAGGCACTGGCATGTGTTCAAAAACACAAGCCATGCAAACTGAACACATTTCACAGAAATTTGAAAATTCACTAGAATGTGACTTGGAGACTGTTCACTAGAACGTGGACTTTGAGTCTGTTGTAGACAAGGCATGTAGAGCTTAGCAACACATTGGAATAGTTCTCTCATTAAGTTCTTATGGGCAAGTCAAGAAATACGGGCTACATAATAATGCAGTGAATTAACATCCCATAGTTACCTGAAGAGACTTTAATTTACATAACAAAGCCTTGTAATAGTGTAACAATTCTGCTCATTATTCCATTCACCAGGCATGTGTTCCAGAGTCAGTAGGAGATGCCAGATGTGACTGAGTTGGGTGGCCTTGGTTCCTACTTGCCTCTCAGTGTGAACACCTTACTGTTTTGAGCCTAGCATATAAATATGTACTTTTCATATAACATGATCCTTAAATCAAGCTGACCACATCAGGTGCTCAACCAAAAGAATGTATAGCAAAGTATTCCAATGCTATATAACAAAGTATTATGGGAGACAAAGAGGCAGGAGAGTGCATTATAAGATTTTCATTTTCCTGACTTTGGAACCTGTAGCCAAGTTGATTTTATAGCCAAGTTGATTTTATAGCCAAGTGAACAACTAAATCCAGCTTATTAGTTATTTTCTAATCTGGAATGAATGTCTAGACATTCTATTGGATGAAGACATAGAAGTCATAAGTCATGCTTACCAAATTTATGCGTAACCCAAGCTGGGACACAGAGATAAAACATGACTTGACGATGAAGACTCCAAAAAAACCACAACAGACTGCAACGACCAAAATGAACATGAGAACATTCCATCATAATCAGAGTTCAATGCCTGGGTTAAAAAGAATCAACAGTGCAAGTACCCCATGGGAAGATTTAACATGACTGCAGTTTATGTATACAGGACTCAGTTCTCAGTTGATTGTTAAGACAAATCAACAATGTGCAGGGGAAAGCATCAGAACCAAAGGAGGACAGTGCAAACTCCACTAGGTCCTTGCTCCAAGACTATGCCCAGACTTTTGTGTTTGGTGTTGGATGTCTCCAAGCCCGGACAATGAGGATGCTGAGGGTTTGCAGACTCCTGCTGTAGGAGGAATAGCTCAGGGACTGAGCTGTTCCTTTTAGCTGAGAAAAGAGACTTTATAAAGCACAATAGATATCATGAAATACTCAGAGGGATCTCACACAGAGGAGGGATTAAATGTATTCAGAGTTGTTCCAGAGAGCTAAAGGAGAACCAATATAAAGGAGAAGCTAGTTAGGGGAGGAGGATTCAGCCCAGAATGAGATGGCCTTAATGATGAGAGCTGTCCAAATATGGAACAGGCTGCCTTTTGCAATAACCATCGCTTTACAGGAGGGCTGTTGAGGGTTGGAAAGTTGGCCGGGGCCTGCTTTCCAGGTCACTGTTTTTTACTGGGTCTTTTCTGTCTGCCTAGCTTTTTTAACTAGCTTGCCTATTACCAGCTAATGTCCTCCTTTATTAATTCCTTTGAGGTTCTTTGATCAAATCATCCATCATTCTGAATTACTGTTTCTCTTCTTTTTCCTCTCCCTGTCCTCAATTGATTGAAAATAGCTGCAATCCTTGGAAGACAATATTTTCTTTTTTTATAAATTATTTTTTTTATTTTTTTTAAACGTTTATTTATTTTTGAGACAGAGAGAGACAGAGTATGAATGGGGGAGGGGCAGAGAGAGAGGGAGACACAGAATCGGAAGCAGGCTCCAGGCTCTGAGCCATCAGCCCAGAGCCCGACGCGGGACTTGAACTCACGGACCGCGAGATCGTGACCTGAGCTGAAGTCGGACGCTTAACCGACTGAGCCACCCAGGCGCCCCAACAATAGAGTATTTTCAAAACCCATTCTTATTTTTTTTCTAAACCTTGTTAACAAGAAGCACGTTTAGGTCAATGCACAAAATAAATTGAATATAAGTTTATTTCTACATAAGAGAACCTTGATCTTTCTGCCCTTGGGAGGCTGGCTTTATGCTAAATTTTGGCAACCTATAAACAAATTTCAGAGACACCCACAGGTTGAGGAACCAAGAGCATAAATGGTATGTGACACAGAAGGGGCCAACTCTGGGCTAAAAATCAGTTTCAGTGTAAAGGAGTATTCCCACCTCCCGCAAATAGCAGACTTGCAAAGAACAGTCTCAGAGGTGATGACAATGTGGTAACAGCACCAATAAGAACTTACACATTGCTCCTCTCCGAGAAGCCTTTAATGCTGCCTAGTTTTGTATTCATTAAACCTGACTAACCTTCACAATCATTCCCATGAGGCAAGTAGTTCAGAGGCCCTCCTGTTTATTTCACAAATTGGAAATCAATGAACCTGGGTTCAGCAAAAATTTGTTGAGGTTCCTCCCATGGTGAGGCCCTTTGCAAGTCACTGATAGATCAGGGATACCGGGACTCATTCATTCCAACAGTAGGTGTTCAGTAAATGATGAGTATATACCAGAGACCTTTCCACATCCTGAGGATGGACAAGAAAGACAAACCCATATTCTCATGGAGCTGGTTTCCTAGTAAGGGGAGACAGACAGTAAACAGCTAAAGAAAAACACAGTATCACAGATAAATGCTGTGAAGAAAATAAAACAATGGGATATCAAGGGTGACTGGGGAAGGTAACCACTTTATGCCCGCCAAGACATCTACAAGGAGATGACATGTAAGCTGAGATCTGAATGATCAGATGGAACTAGGCACCTGACAATCTCGAGAAGACCACTGAATACAAAAGTCATGGTCGAGAACCCCTCAAGAAACTCATGATCACACTACAGGTGCTTACAATCCCAAGTACCCGTGGAGCCATGGAACAGAGACCCAAAGTCAAATGTCCAAGATAATTTCCAGGCGAAGATAGGTAGCAATCCTCCTGCCTGTAGTGCTGCTATCGTTGCCAAGAGATGAGGTGAGGCCAAAGAAATGGGGCAGACCTGGTCTCAGAGGGAAAAGAACCACCAGCCCTCCATTACTACACCCCCCACCATGCAATCAATCACGTGTCCCTCCTGGAGGAGGCTCCAGTCCTGTGACCTAACCAGTTTCCACCTTGCTTCTCTCAGCGCATTGCCATACACTAGAATTTTGTTTGTGTTTTGTGTAGGGTTTTGTTGGTCCTTTTCCAAGTATCAATGAAAACTGCACGCCAGCCTCCACTCCTTGGAAATAATTAAATGAAATGACGTGCTTGATTTTTTCAGCTGGGTAATGCACTGTGATTTGCGTCTGCTGAAGGAATTCATCTTAAGTCCTGAGGCTGAGCCATCGGGGACAACTGAGGTGCTTTTTCTGCGCTTTGGCTCTTGCGGATGGCACACTATCGCCAAACACAAAAGTAGACTAAATGCTTCATTCTGCGACATATTCGCTTAAGAAAGCTGCTCTTTGTGATGCGAATATGTTCACCTTTTGTTCATGAATTCAAGGCAGAGGTCCCTTCCCGTTTAGTAATCTAACTTTACAGAAGAAAAATGCCCTTTATTTTGCTGTCACCTAGGTTTTGTACAGACCTCTGCAGCAAGTCCTCTGAGGTTTAAGAATAGGTTTTGGATTAAAGTCCTTCTTGCTCCTACTGGGGAAATTGGAAATCTAGAAAACAGCCTTGATCTTAATGCCCAAGCGAAGCACCTTCTAGCACAATTCTCATTATTTAGCAGTTATGGTGGCATAGCCTGTGACACGTATCACAGGCTGTGTGAGCTATAAAAATTAAAACCTCCTCCCCCGAGTGGGATTTCTTCGCTCAGAGCACGCAGACCCCGCTGGGGAAGGGCTGACATTTGTGTGCGGTAGAGCGCTCGGCTGGGGGTGTGGGATGCGGTGTTCCTGAAGCGATACATTCGAGCCGTGTGGGAAATGAACTGCGGAATTCCTCCCCTTGATTCCTGAAGGGGGCTCTGAAGGAGACAGATTAGGATGCAGAGTGCGGCCCGGGAGGCGGAGGGCGAGGGGGCGAGCCAAGGACACCAACCCGAAAGCGCTTCGGAAAGCCCAGTGCGGAGCGAGTTCCCAGGTTCCTCGGCCTCGCCTTCCCCACCACCCACCCCCGCCCAAAGCTCAGGCTGACCCCGAAGGGCAGGCAGTAATCCTCAGGGCAGCTAGTGCAGGGGGCCCACCGTGAGCCCTCGACCTCCTTGGGGTCTGTCCGTGAGTGAGCGGGGTTGAAGACCGATGGAGCCCAAGACCCGCCGAAATTCCGCCCTCCGCCAACCGCTGGCTACGGCGCGTACTGCGCGAGCGCGGCCCGGCGCGCGCCGGCCTCTATCCGGGTTCCTGGGGGCGGTGCGCAGAGGGGGCGGGGCCTGCGCGGCGGCGTGGGCGCGAGTCGCGCGGGAGGGAGGGAGCCGAGGGGAGGGGGCGGGGCCGTGCCGCCCGCGCCGCGCTGGGCCCTCTCGGCCAATGAGCGGCGTCCACATGCTGCGGCGGCGGCGAGAGGGGAGGCAGCGGCGGATAAATGCTATTAGAGCAGCCGCCGCGGAGCCGTCCCCGACGCCACCTCCTTCTCCTCCGCCGCAGTTTCCTCCGCCGCTGTCGGGGGTGCGGAGCTGAGGGAATAGGGCGAGCGCGCCGCGCACCACCCTGCCGGCTCGCTGCCCTCGCTCCGTTCCGCCCTCAGGGGTCGGCCGCGTGCCCCCTCCTCCGGCCCGGGTGGGGCCGCGAATCACCTCGGGAGAGCGGGGAGGGGGCTCTGGGGCCGCGGCCTGCGCTCCGGTGGGCGGTTGAGGGCGAAAGAGGCCCTCCCTTCTGACGAGGGGAGGGAGGGTCCGGAGCCCCCCACCGCCCAGCTGAGCCAGGGGCGTGCGCCGGCGAGGGCCGGGCTGCGAGAGGGGCGGTTGTCTGGGGGAGGGGGCGCGGGGTGATTCAGCGCCCGGCGAGGCGGAAGCGGCCGCAGGAGGAGGAGGAGGGGGGAGAGGCCAGTCAGCGCCTAGGCGCCCAGGGTGGCACGAGCCCGCGGCCCGAGTGCGAGGCGGAGGCGAGGAGGCCGCGGGGACTGGAGGCGAGGCCGGCCGGGCCCCCGCAGCCATGGAGAACGCGCACACAAAGACGGTGGAGGAGGTGCTGGGCTACTTCGGCGTCAACGAGAGCACAGGGCTGAGCTTGGAGCAGGTCAAGAAGCTCAAGGAGAGATGGGGCTCCAACGGTAGGTGCCCGGCACCGGGGCTGCAGGGGCCCCGCGCGGCCCGGCGCGGGCCCGAGAGCCAGGGAAGATGGCTGACCGGGCTCCACCTCGTGGGTCTGGGCTCCGCGCCCGCCGAGGGCTGCAGGCGGCGGGTCGAGCCCGCGCGCGGGCCCCGCGGGAGAGGGGTTGCAGGCGGGGGCGCCGGGGTCTGTTCTGCGCCTCCTAGATCTCACGCCTCGAACCCTTGACCTTCCCCGCACACAGCTAGCTCTCCGGCTTCCCGCACGCAGCTGCGGGCCCCGCTGGAGAGACGGACGAGTCTCTTGCAGCTGGGTTGTTCCCTGCGAGACATTTTCTCGTCCCCAGTTTATGAGGCGTCGTTGCAGTTGAGAATGCCTCTAACCGTTCTTCTACTACCCAAAGTTACACATCTGGCAGAAGTCATGACATAGCTGAAATGACTCGTTTCGGGAGCCCTGTTTAGGTAGCGATGAGATTTTATGCTTCGGGGTAGACCTAAGGTATTGGTTACGGCAAATATTGCATGTTTTCTTGGGGCTACTATTTTAGTATGGTTTCTATTAAAAGTGGTTGAATGTTCATATACCTAGGTATGTCTTTCAAAGACCGTGGTAATTTTAGGAATTCTCTTTTGAAAGACCATGCTAATTTTTTTTTTTCCTCCTTGTTGACACGTTGCCTGGCGAATTTCTGCATTATAGAGTTACCGGCTGAAGAAGGTGAGTAATCTTAACATGTTCTTTTTTTTCTCCCCTTTGTGTTCTGATGTTAAGATGACATTTACAACAAATGTTTGTTTCTCACAGGAAAAACCTTGTTGGAACTTGTGATTGAGCAGTTTGAAGACTTATTAGTTAGAATTTTATTGCTGGCAGCTTGTATATCTTTTGTAAGTATAAAGAAACTTATTTTCTCTCAGAAAGTTGACTCTATTTCATAGATGAAAAAACAAGAAACAAATGTCTATTGGGTGACAATGTTATATTTAGAGATTTAAGCTGTGTCTCCATTTTTTTTTCAACTTCAGTATTTTAAAATTATAAACAAAACACTTGAAGCCATTTGTGTTGTAGAAAATCAATGAATGCCTGACATTGACAGTGCAGTTAGAAATTGTTGCCAAATGGCGCAGGGTCTTATAAATTTTTGTGGTTTATGAGATTTTAACATCAAAAAGTTCTTTATCGGGAAGTCTTTTTTCTGTTTGGGTTCTTCCACGGTGTAAGATCACACTAATATGATGTTGGGCCCTTTGTAGTCTGTAAATAGAACTTACAAAAGGAATATTCCAGTTGCTCTCCCTTCCTGGTAATGGCAAGGTGACAGTTGTTTCTGACAGTGACAAGAATGATGACGGCAGTGATGGCACTACTGTTGACCAAATTTGGTTACTGACCTTTAGGGTGGTATATTTATCTAAATTGGACCCCTGTCTTGAGTGACTCCTAGGTAGAAAGAACAAGGTTCAGTACAATTGGTTATAGATCTTAAAAATAAAAACAAAACATATAGTGTTTTTTCTTGTTCTGTATGTGCTTACCGAATTGAGTCCTGTATGGTTGCTAAGAAACTAGTGAAATGCAAAGGACTACAGCAGAAACAGGGTGATGGGTTGGTGAGGATATTTCTAGGCTATATTAACATTTTTTTTCTGCTCAATATTAATTTTTTATTGCATTTTTTTCTTGGGCAGTGGACTTCTTGGTAGTTTTCCTAAAAATGGTCATGAGTAGGACATAGAAGTTCCTAATCCTAACAGCAAGGGATGACTTTTGCTCTTTTTTTTTTCTCTTCCAAATTTTTATTTAAATTCTAGTTAGTTAACACATAATGTAATACTGGTTGCAGGAGTAGAATTTAGTGATTCATCACTTAAATATAACACCCAGTGCTCATCATAACAAGTGCTCTTCTTAATACCCATCACCCATTTAGCCCATCCCCCACCCACCTCCCTCCATCCACCGTAGTTCTCTTATCATTACACTTTTGTTTTAAATTACAGTATATTAGTCTTATAAAATAGGATGGGAAGTGAAATTCACCCAGTGTAATATGTTTTTTCAGGCTTCACAAAATTGACAGAGCTTCAAGGTTTCATTTTTGTATGTTTGTACATATGCAAGCCCCAGAAATCTCCTTTGTTCTTTATGACAGCCATATCGTAGAAGACTATTTTGAGAACTAAGTAAAAAGGAAGCAGTGGGCACTTCTTTAGGTGAGGGGGGAAATTTGGTAAGAGGTGAGTTTTTTGGAGTAATACTATTTACAAATTCTATCATGCCATTTGGCAAAGTGATATGTAGCTATTAATAATTCAGTCCTCAAGAATGTTTTCTATGGTTTTCATTGAATAAAATTAAGAGAGTGTCATAGCAAATCATTCAGCATTCTGAATTACTCTATACCTCTTAACATGTCTGTCTGTTCTTGATTAATTCAACACCACCCACCCCTCCACCCTCCCCCACCCTCTCTAAACGGCTGCTGCTTTACCGATTAAGATAAAGGAGTAGAGCTGTTTGATTAACCAGTTTCAGTACTTTGTCATGGCACAAAACAAATAATACATTTGGGGTAGTGTAATGTTTATGTTTAAGCTAGCTGCATAATTCTGAAGTAGCCTCAGCGTTGGTAATTAAAATACGGGGGTTCAATAACGTTATCAGGGACCCCTTAGAATAAGTCAGCTGGTATATACAGGGCAGAGAGGAAATAAATTTTTTTGAGTTATTCTGTGTGTGTAACTTAAGGCAGTGTTGTAACATCACTGGCATTATTTCTAATAAACAAGCTCTTGGATATTTAGGTTGTATAGGATCTCTTGAGTTGCCAGTTTTGAATGACTTTATATTAGCACTTTGATTTAGTAATGTATGTGATTTTTACTTTGAAGAAAGGATCTTCTAGTTTCTAAGCATTTTCAAATGGGTTTTAAAATATTTGCTTTAATTTTATCATAGGGCAGGGTGTTGGATTTTTATAGCTTTATAGAGCTATATTTTGGAATTGAAATTTGAATTACCTTTTTGGTAACTACTCGGAGTTAATGCTCAGGAAATGAATTGGGTGACATTTTTATTTTATGGGTTGATAAAGAAACGTAATAAATTTTAGGAAATACTGTTAGTTTGCTTTGACTTGGTTGATCAAGACATTTTGGATTTAAAACTTGCTTCGTTGATTTTCTTTATGTGGAATTGGCACTACTGCTACATTGTGCTTGACCTTTTCATTCCTCATTTCTTTATCTTTCAAAAGATCACTGAGTCTTTTTTTGTGGTAATCTGTTTATTCCTATGTAACAGGAGAATCATGGTAGAATATTCATGCTCTTTTGGAAGAGTGAATAGGCAGTTCTACAACATGTACACGATGTATGATATATCCTCAGGTTCTGCTGAAGTTAAAAAGAAATATTAGGCGTTAGTGATTTATTTCAGATGTCAGACTAAGTGTTAACTGTAGGAAGCTACATTCATGTTTTACACTCATGACCTGTATGGATAAAGGGTTTGTTTTTTTTTTTTTTAATGTTTATTTTTTGAGAGAGAGACAGAGCACGAGTGGGAGAGGGGCAGAGAGAAAGAATCTGAAGCAGGCTCCAGGCTCTGAGCTGTTAGCAGAGTCCAACGTGGGGCTTGAACTCGTGAACCACGAGATCATGACCTGAGCTGAAGTCAGATGCTTAACTGACTGCACCATCCAGGTGCCTAGGGATCAAGGTTGATTAACTTGTAATGTTCACCAAATATAAGTAGTTTGTGTTTTCTTTATTTTATTTTTTTTTTCAAGTTCACTTGGATTGGAAGAAGTGAGCTATCTCTGTCCCATTGCGTATAAAGTAACATTAGAAATTCCTTAATTTGACATTTAGGACCTGCTGTCCTTTCAGTTTGTCTTTACGTCCTCTTTAGTCACAACTTTGCCCTTCATTTAACACATCATATGGTTGCTTACTGGAATACCCGTTCTTTTCTCTCTTTTACTGCTTCATTAGGTATTTATTGAACACCTGGGACACGGCACAGACGCTGGGGATATAGCATTGAACAAAATAGGCAAAGTCTTTGACCTGGAGCTGACATTCTAATGGAGGCAGATTATAAACAAGTAAAACATGTAGTCTGTTGGACAGTGATAGAGAACTAAAGCAGAGGGATAAGAATATGAGGAGGAAGGAGTGCAGTTTTTAAGTAGGGCGGTCAGAAAAGTCTTCCAAGAAGGTGACATTAGAGAAAAGACCTGAAGGAGATGAGCAGGAGGGCCATATTTGCCTCCTCTGTATCCATGAAGTCCTCTGATAACATGGTTTGTCAAAGTTTCTCTACCCTCCATCCCCCTGTCCCCACCACAGCTACTTCGATGGATTCTGAAATGCTACTAAAACTTTCTTAGAGCAAGGCACTTTTCAGCTTCTCACTTGTAATTGAATAGTTTGTTTTTCCTTCCTCCTGGGCCCTTTAAAAGGGATTCTTAATATTTTTTAGAGCCTAGGTTAGTGCTTTTGATAGAACAGATAGATTTTTTTTTTAATTTTTTTTTTCAACGTTTTTATTTATTTTTGGGACAGAGAGAGACAGAGCATGAACGGGGGAGGGGCAGAGAGAGAGGGAGACACAGAATCAGAAACAGGCTCCAGGCTCCGAGCCACCAGCCCAGAGCCCGACGCGGGGCTCGAACTCACGGACCGCGAGATCGTGACCTGGCCGAAGTCGGACGCTCAACCGACTGCGCCACCCAGGCGCCCCGAACAGATAGATATTTGAGTGAGTTTGTGTTGGTAGCATTTTCAAAATACAGAAAAACGTATATCTGTTTTCTTAGAACAATATAGTCAAGAAGTGTTTTATATAATGTAGTGATTTTATTTTTTTTCCCTGT